GGGTTCAAGGCCTGGGGAAAGGGTAGAGTGGACCACAAGCACATCATCTGTGTTTTCAAAAAGCTCCATGACATTGTTTATGCTTCATTTATCATAAGGATTTATTTCTGCATTTGGCATTTCAAATAGAGTGCAGATGTTAGAGGTCCAGGATTATATTTCCATACTTCAGAACATCCCTGAACTGTCTTTGCATAGACCACCCCCCAACCTAACCAACCAAACAGAAAACACATTATCCTCTAGTTGGCTGGGCTTCATGGTGCTGATATTATGTGTTACAGATTAGATATGTTCCTTAGTGTTTTCTTGGCCATAATCTTTATAGAAGCCAACTATAAGGGCTTTAGATTTCTACCTGTATTTCAAGTACTGCTCCCTAGCAGCCACTTAAAAACTTTTTACATCACCCAGGGATTTTATGTGGGTGTTTAATAAATGCATGTCAATTGAGTCATTGGATAGTTACAAAAACCTCAAGAAGTAAGCACTACAACCCTTACTCTACTAAAAGTCAAATTTACCAAGAAGACAGCCAAGGCTAAATGCAGGTGAGTGCTTTACCTACATAACTGAGGGGATCAAAGCACTATTCAGAAGCAGAGGGTTCCCATAAGCACAAGCCTTTGGATCTTGTCTCGAGAACTCCTTCTTTATTCTGTTATTTTTCTGTCATGGAATTACTGGACATTTCTATTAATACAGAATTTTTTAGCCAATAAGCCTTCCTAATGCAAGTGCATCTTTTTTTCTTTCTTCCTTTTTTCCAGACAGAAAAGGGGAGTGCACTTCATGAAGCAGCCTTATTTGGGAAGGTGGATGTTGTACGAGTTCTCTTAGAAACAGGTAATATACCCCATCTTTATTTTGAGATTAAACAAAAGAAAATGACACAGTTTTCTTCACAAATCATGCATATTTCTTGCCATCAATCCAAATTTATGCCACGTAAACCTATACCTGTTAGTCATAATGTAGTGGTTTGAATTTTGGAAGGATCTGCAGAATCATCCATGGTGGACAGTTTTCAGCAGAGCTTCCAAACTAAGACAGACTAGGCAGAAGGACCTGGTGAGAAAATGCTAGAACAAACTGACTAGTAAAATCCGTATGGGGGAGAGCAGTGAAACATTGTCTGATATAGTGCCAGAAGATGAGCCTTGTTTGGGAATGTTGGAAGGCAATCAAAATATGGCTGGGAAAGAGCTGCTTCCTCAAAGTTATTGGATCTGAGTGATGTGGATGAAATAATGCTTTGGGGACCTTTATTTGCTGATTTGTCAGGATTCAATACGAAAGCAATAGTTGTAGATACACATTAGCAGTTAGAACATGGGCTGTATGAAGTATGAGTCCAGAAAAATTAGAGGTCATCAAAAATGAAATGGAACCCCTAAAGATTGATAGAATAGGTATTGATGAGCTGAAATGGGCTAATATTGGTAACTGGAAAAACATATGTTAGGAATGACAAATTGGAGATGAATGGTATATTCATCACAGACCCCCCACCCCCCAAATATTTTAGCATCTGTTCTAAAATAAAAATGCTCTCACAGATAGGGTGATGTCCATATGCAGACAAGGAAGACTAGTTAATAGGCCTATTATTCAAATTTACTTGCCAATAATTGATGTCAACAATGAAGAATGAACAATCTTTACCAATTGATGCAATCTGAAATTGATAAAATAATGCAATTAATATGCACAGATAATTACTAGTGATAGCATATAAAAGAAGGAAGCACAAAAAGAAGAATCAGTATTTAGAAAATATGACTTGGTGACAGAAGCTGTGTAATATATCTCATGATAGAATTTTGCAAAACCTACAGCTTATTCATTGGGATACCTTTTTCTTTCTTTTTAAAAAAATACCTTTTTCAATAACATAAATGGCAACTATGCATGTGTCCCTCCCTGGGAGATTACACAGGAACCAAATCAGCTACTTCTGTGGAAAGAGATACTGGAG